AGTCGACTTTTGTTTAGCTACCTCGAGAACGATAGAGATGAAGGTAGGCGCAATGGGACGAGTTAGTCCCGTAACCGGTTGTTGAGCGTCCAGTCATCAAGCTCAATACTCACGATCGAACCCGGCAAGAAAACGATCCCGTGGGGCAACAGTTAAGGCGTTGGACTTTTTTTTTAATCGGTTGCAGGTTCGAGCCTCGGGTGGTGCATCACTTGGAGTTGGATCCGACTGGCTGATCCAGACAGAAGTGGCCACTTCGGTAATGATCATATGACTAAAAGACTAGCCGCTGTGTGGCTGCTGGCGGAAGCTCGACAATGAGCGCCAATGGGGAGAGTGAGTTTTGTAATCGATCGGGGAACGTCAATCCACCAAGATGCTCACCTTAATTATCTACCTGGGGGCAGCATGTGCCAAAGGGCCTCAGAAAAAGAAAACGTGCTAACCCTTATACGACAACATAACTGGGATTTACACCCATGCATTTAAGGACGGGCTACAAATTAAGACATGTGAGCACACAGAAAAAACTCTAACAAGGTCCGCGTGTACCATGATCAAAGTTCAGCTAATTAATTGCATTTCGCCTTGTCCCTCCCTCTGGCAGAGCTCTAGTTGTGTCTCTTGTCAAGCTTATCCCGTACTCGCATGTCCCAGTTGCGTGATAGGACGAACCTTAGTCAATTTCTCTTATCGTTCACATGTTTTTTACCCCCGTGCTCATATAAACATGCTGGCTCAATTGACGAGAATTTATCCAAAACACACTTCTGCTCACCGACTGGTCTTCCTCTCATGAGAATTTTCGCAATTCTATGGTGTAAAAGTTAGTCATTTTGACGTATGCGTATACGTGTATGGTTAAGTACTTAGAGCACTAAGGGCCAAATGGCAGATGCACAGTTGAGAAAAATGCAGCTGACAGTATTGACGGGTCGGTTTTGGCGGTACCCTTCTCACATGCGTTCTTAACAGCAATCAACGAGGAAGTTGGCGTGGCCTTGAAGGTTGATTTCAGGGTAGGTGATTATACAGTTTAACCCAGGTCCCTAGTAGTCAAATGGGCCAGTTTTGCACCGTTCACATAAAGCAGCTGTATTAAATACGGTAATGGCAAGGTAAGCGTGGAAGAATACTTTTGCCTGGAAAAAAAGGGATGAGAAAATGATAGATTTTGGCAACTTCATTTCAGATAAATATACTGATATAGTGAAATTTAGCTTCGCTTGGTAGATATTTAAGGGAGGTTGCTTTCGATCGACGATGATACAATTTAATGAGCCGAATAAGAAGTAATGATAATTCGTTGCTTATAGAACAGCGAAGTCCTCATCATTAAACGAACGCACTACCCCTTAATCAACTCCAAAGAAAATTTTATTTGTATGGCAGTACGGTTTTACTGACCAGTCAACAACCAGAGGCAGTACGTGATAAGGATAGAGGATTTATGGGGGAGGATGGGAGGGGGGGGGTTCAGGGATGCAGTTGATGTCGCATCAGACGCCCACTAAAATGAACAAATTAAGACTTCATCGGAAATGTTTTTGCTTGGCGCAATAAAGGGTTGATCGCGAAGTGTCCTGATTCTATCGCTGGTGGTGGGGATACGCGCGATAATTAGTCACGTCTCGTTGCGATTTTAACGCTGGTGTTGAAGCTGTACGCAATAATGACCGAGCAATTTGTTTCACCAGCCCTCTTGCCGGAAGTGAATCTACTCGAAACATTCTCCGAACTAAAAAAGTGCTATCCCCAAACGAAGTGGGGAAGAGATCCCGGGGTGCGTTGATGAACTACGCACCAGAATTCCGCGACTCAAACAGTTGGCAACCCAGGCGGTTGTCGCCTATCTCAGCGAACTTGAAGATGTGGTAAACTCCAGTAGAATGAGCATCGACTTGGAAATTGGCGTAATTCCTCTTCACTACTTATACGTGTTCAGCCATCCGTGTCAAACATTGTCTTTGTTTCTCTTCAATGCAGTTGCTTTGCTTGCAAATGCAGGAGTTCTCGTACTGGTGGAAATCAACGAGTCCCTTCGAGTGGGACGTAATTTGGGATTTGACGTTAGCCCGCCCGACCACTGGTGTATGAATGATCATCTGCGTCTAGGGCAGGCTCTCGGTTTCTCCGACGTACTTGCTTGGTTTGAAGATGCACCAGATCCGCCAAAAGACTCTAAACGCATGCTTCGTGGCAGCGAGTCCTTTCGTCTTGTTACTTGGTGCCTGTGGGCCGCCTCCGGTCTGTGTGAAACACAAACATTGGGTGGCGCAACAAGGCGACTGCCGTGCTTGTTTAACGAGAGCGTGTGCGCAAAACATTGGGACTGATTAAGGTTGTAATCTCGTATTGGTGCGCGCCCGTTGACGCAGATACGCGGCGATCTATTCACTTCGAGCTCCCGTTGAAGACAGTCCAATTCAGAAATTCATCTTCCGGTTCAATAGAGTGCACCCCATACGTAATTACTTACCATACTGGCATCACAGGTACTAGCTAAAAGTTCAGAGACGCTGTTAGGAGTTTGGCAGATTTCAATAATTCGATTGACCCAACCGGGAATAAGCTCGCGGCCTCGGTAGGAGTCAAACTACACAACAGGGAAGGCTTTTGCGCAGCTAACGCTCTACCATTGAGTTACGAGGCTCATCGTGCGCAGTGAAGTCAATCGCACTTGGGTCGATTCGCTTGCCCAGCTTTACTGCACGTATCGAATCCACCAATACGGAGGCAGTAAGCTAACTGCCAGGCAGGATTTCCTAAGTAATCATCTAGGATCCACCGTATGAACCTCGTAACTCAATGGTAGAGCGTTGGCTGCGTAAAAGCCTCCCCTGCTGTGTGGGTTCGACTCCCACCGAAGCCGTGAATTTTTCACAATTGGGTCAATCGAAGCTCAGACACCTGGTTCGTCGGTATTCTGTCGCTGCTTGACAAAACTGCCAGGGGTCCAGCTCATCAGCGGGTCTCCCAGCATTCTTTGTGTGCTTTCTGGTAGATGCACTCCAGTTTTGAAATTGTAGCTCTTTAATTTCCTCAGAAATTAATTTTTTTAACTTGGAGTAGATCAGACCGGATGTACCCACGACACGCACTGACCGATTGTTCCTAAAAACAACTTAGAGAACTGCAGCATTGTTATCCTGCCTTATTTTTGCCAAACTACAGCCTCAGATCCCAACTCCCCTTTTTTATTAAAACAGCGAAAAGGGCGAGGGGGGGTGAGGATACAAAAGATGATAATGGGTTGTGTAATAGTACTCTACCTTAAACCTGCAAGCTTCACCTCAGTTCTAGCCTTCTAAACCTAGGATGAATTA